TTTTCTAAAAAAGGTTATTGTGTTCTAGTCCATGGACCCCGTCTAAAAAGTAAGAAATTAACGAAATGTGATAGCTGAAAATTAAAATTTCACACAAAACCTCACATTAATCACACACAGAATGAAAAGCTACATGCAGAAGACCTTTTCCCCTCGTGATCCTCTTTCCTATGCATGTTGCCAATTGTTGGTGCAGTACAAGTTTAGTGTTGAAAGCAGCATTTCAAGTGTTGTGATTATTGTGAGGTTTTGTGTGAAATTTTAATTTTCAGCTATCACATTTCGTTAATTTCTTACTTTTTAGACGGGGTCCATGGACTAGAACACAATAACCTTTTTTAGAAAACTGCCATAAAGCAGTTTGTATTGCTATAATTTCTTTTGTTTTTTCTGTCACCAATCAATGGAATTCCCTATATTAATATGTAAATGATGGCCTTCACATCATATCAATACCATATTATACGCATTGATGTGCAAGCCTTTTCTTGCAGAAAATGGCACTAGCATAATGCATGTTCTTCTTCTGCGGGGAAACATGTGAGCAGTGGTGGTGATACTTTTTTTATACGGAGGTCATTCTGTGCATGTTGCTGTTGCAGAATTTCATGACTCTGTCATAAAATTGTCTTGCCTTTCAGATATTTCAGATTTCTCCACCCTCAATCAGATTTATTTGAGAAATGTAGCCATGCGCCAGGTGCGTGTCGCAGATGTTTTTGTTGATTCTGTGTTCAAACGACCCACGTGCCCTTTGCTAGGTTACGACCAATCAGCAGCCTCGGAGAGCGGGCTTTGATATTCCATCAAAGCCCGCTGTCATTGACAACCTGTACGAGAAAACCATCAAAGCCCGCTGCCATTGGCAACTGTACGACAAAACCATCGAAGCCCTGATCATGCCCAATCTCAGTCTTTTCAAGGTGATCTGGCTATAAGAACAAGAAACCGATAGGGGTGGTGGTCGGGGATGCGGCGGCTCTCAACTTGTGGAGTTGGAAATCTAGCTCCAGCACCGCAGAACTCTCAGCAGTATGCAGCGTGAGCAAGGCGTGTATGGTCGAAGTGAAAATACTTCCGTGACTCTTCAGCCACGTCTGGCTCTTGACACGTAGTCCTGAGAAATTTCTCACGAAACAGGTTTTTCGTCTCAACTTGTGGAGTTGGAAATCTAGCTCCAGCACCGCAGAACTCTCAGCAGTATGCAGCGTGAGCAAGGCGTGTATGGTCGAAGTGAAAATACTTCCGTGACTCTTCAGCCACGTCTGGCTCTTGACACGTAGTCCTGAGAAATTTCTCACGAAACAGGTTTTTCGTCCACTCACATTACTTTCCCTTTGCTGTAATCTCTGTGTGAAACTTACGAACGGGACGAAAACGACATGCACTTTAGACTTCAGGCTGCTCTGAAATCCCAAACGAAAGGCCGACATTGTCCACACTCGAGATCACCCAAAGAATGAAGCGAGTTTGATTCAAAATCAAAAAAATGTTGGGGATAGTCTGAAGCATATTCAAGCGAGGTACAGTCGGGCTTGACATAGCCAGCAATCGCATGTCATCTCGTACATTGAAAATCAACAAAATTTTGCGAATCGACCTTTTTTTCAGGATCACTTTTCAACGAGGACGAAGCAAAGTCGGCCGAACGAAGCCTAGAGGAAGAAAATCACCCTCTCCACTTCACCATCACGATACTGACATAGATACGAGATGAAACAACTAAAAAATTCACAAGAAAACTGTACGACCATCATCGCGCTGACTTTGGTCTGACTTTGGTCTGAGAATTTCTATCCTGATCAAAAATGTACGAGGAGCACTCAAAAATCAGCCACAGACGTACCTTTATCGCTCTCTACTCCTTTTTCAAGGCACAAAAGTCGACTCTCCACTTTCAAACCAGGAACCAGACATACCAGTGGTCCTTTTCAGCTGCTCCACGAGCGCAGGAAATGTTCACCAAGGGGCGCAGAGCAGCATCCATTCCAGAAAAATAGCTAAAATACGAGTGAGACTGCATGCCTGAGTACATGAGTACATGTATGAGTACATGCAGAAAATAGTCAATTTCAGCGTTTCTGCTCCAAACAGCAACCAGCTTCGACTAGAAACAAAGATTACACCAAAGGATCAAACAACAACGATTTTCTGCAGTTTTTTTGCAGTTGGCTTCCTTGTGCTTGGCCCAGCACGCCAAAAATCACACCTCGGAGGAGTACAAAAATTACAACTCTCAGATGTCCTTGATTGCTGGCCATGTGACTGATCAAAGCCCTTGGGCCTACGGCCCTCGGGCTGGACCCTTGGGCTTTGATCAGCCATCAAGCCCTCTGTACCTCGCTTGATTATCTACTTTATAATGGTTTATAGTCATGGGTTATCGTGATAAGGTCATCCAGCATCATATTGAAACTGAAATCGTAATCCTGTTGATGTCGATACAACTTTTGGAAGTAGTTCAATGACTTCAAACTGTTAGTCCACGATTGTCTAAAACAACACAGCAAAGGAGGAACAATAAACATGTATTAAAATGTAAACGAATACATTGCTGAGTCCAAAACCTCGTTCCAACAACTACACTGATCCTGAGGAGAAAAGGGGCAAGGCTATGGTTGGAGGTACTGAGAGATAAACAAGGCACTCCACAATGATAAAATCTTACATATCTTTTGGTGAGTATGAATGATATCCAGTCGAACCTCTTTAGGACGAACACCAAGGGACCGATGGTATTTATTCTGTGAGCTTAACCTATTTTATAACCAGAGAATACAATTATATCTCCAATAGACATACGAATAGATTTCTTCTACAGCGAAAGATTCTAAGCCACACCGACTCATTGACTCGTCTCGTATGAAACAATTGAGTCACTAGAGAGATTCTGCAAAACGAAAATGCGTACAAACTTTCGCTCTACATCATGAAGTGCGAAACTTCGCTCCTTTGGACGCGAAACTAACTGTTACTTGCAGGGAACGCGAAATGAACTGTCGTAGGAAAATTCGTGAGATCGGGTCATGGCGTACGTGCACTTGGCCCGCGCAAACGAGATTTTCACGAGACGGGACTGCACCCATTGGCTTGTTTCGTATGAAACAAACAAGTTACTGAACCTCTCCACAATAGAGATTTCCCCTGATATGCGAATTTATTTTGCAAACTCGGTCAATTGGTACTTGAACCTTTCCCTCCAGATTGGGAACTGCCAACGATAGTATGCCACTGACCAGTGCCTTACTTGTAACGTACCAATGTACAATGAATATGAGTATTTCGACAACACATCTAACATAAGCCTTACCGTCAAGAAGTTGAACTCGTGTTCTTCGCACACTGTAGACAAGGGCAAAGAGATAAAAATGGATCTAAATCCGAATAAAATCAGCACACGTTTCCGTAAATGAAAGGTGAACATAAGCAAATGAATCGAAGGAAACCGGTAAACTTAGAGATCACCTGTCATCGAGTATTCCGTAAAAGGAGGCCCCGCAGCTCGGCAGCAGAAAAGCAAAATTTAGAAAAGAGATCCTGTCAACTTTTCCATTATTTATTGCATTCCGCCCCAAAATCAGCACACTTTTCCTGAATGAAAGAGTCAACACAAGCAAATGAATCAAAGGCAACTGGTCAACTCACCTGTCATTGAGTAATATTCCGCGAAAGGAGGTCTCAGCAGCGCCGAAACGAAATAAGCCAGGCCATGAGACGAAATATCCGAAACAGCTCATGCTAGAAGCAGTTCCAAAGAAGGAAGTTCCTCGCGCATGCACATCCGAACACGGATCCGCGGACTGCATGCATGTGCACTGAACACAATGTCTGCCGTGCACGTGCACAGCACACGGCTACCACGCGTTGGTAGATCTAATACCGAGCACCTTACGTAGAGACTTACGTAGCCTAAGTGAAATACCGAGCACCTTACGTAGAAACTTACGTAGCATAGCGATGTCGTTTTTTCTGCCATGTGAACACAACAATAGAAAAGCTGACAGGATCGCTTTTCTAAATGATCATAATGAGTATGAGTATGACAGGACTGCTGCTTTTTGAGCAGAATCTGCCACCTTTTTGGAGCATTATCCGCCAATGCCTAACTACAATTGTAGGAGTTGCACTTGTACTGTGTACAACGGCCCATACATGTACGTCTAGCCAGTTCAGTAAACACAGGACAAACGTAAGAGGGTTGGTCGAAAACTCTGAAAAGAACAGTCTTTAACGCGCGTAAATGAAGCCGCCATTCCTGCTGTATGTTGCTCCAGCGAAGTCGAAATGCGAGATTGATCTCGGGGATGATGATGATGATGATGATGACGATGAACAACCTGTGTTGCACGTCTGCGACAGACCAGTGAATGACTATTGTGAAACATCGCATGATTTGACGTCAGCTTCGTTGACACCTATCACGATTTCGGCGCCTTGCCGCGTGCATGTGAGGTTCGTCAGCAAGCACAATAGTCAATACAATCATGTACTGGCTGTGTGGATGGCTTGAATCAGACATGTTGACGATCATCGTGCGCTTATCGCTCGAGCTCTCTGGAGCACATATGCCCTATTTCCCAGGTGCTTGTCGATAAACCAACTTGCTAGGCCATTAGCGATAAACCTTTCAAGCACCTTTCGCTACCTTCTTGCCCATCTTGGGCTTCTTGAGACCTGACTCTTGAGGCACCGTTTAGGGTGGGTGCCGAGCACAGGGAGAACTTACTTAGCGAAGTAGATCTACATGTACATGATTTTTCTATCTGTAAACACATACCACTGCATACCGCCTATACCGAATCGGCATGAACATAATTAGCACCTCCACTACCAGGGCAGATGGCCATGAGCAAAGACGTCAACCATGTCAACTGACAACTCCTTGCACATGATGATGTGACCTTGTCGTACTAATGTAGTAATGAGTAATGTGCATGAATTATTAATTTTTGGAGTCTTGGCGACGCTGGCCGAAGAGTCACCTGCAATATATGGCACACTGCCAGACCGAGGTAGTACTGGAAGGCTTGAACTGTTGAAGATTTTTTTGGAAAGAAGTAAGTTTTGTCTGTGATGGCCTGAGCCAATATTCCCCGTATCGTAGGATAACCACCTTCAGCTTGCACAAGTGAGTCTCGAGTACCATTTCCCACAGAGCGGAAGAAAATATGAACTCTAAAGCCACGCAGCCAGGCCTCACAGATCACTCTGAAAACGGAGTTGGATTCTGTAGAAATTTGAAAGGGCACCGCTGAGAGACCCAACGATCAGATTAGTCGAGGAACAATCGTCATTCAGTGGTTTCAGCTTTGCGTTGCGCCTCCCTTCTGCCGGTCGCTGTAGCCGTCATGCCTATGTTGCGATCATCCTGGACGTATGAATTGCGGCTGTTGCTCAGCCTGGCCGCAGTGCTTGGCTCGCTCCGCGCGGCTCATTCCACCGACTCAGACAAAAAACACAACAAAATGGATCCTATTACGAAGGCCAAGCCGATTCGGGTAAGTCTGTGGGCCAGATGCACAGGACACACTTCCCCTGGTCGACTTCCGAATTGCAGCATCATAGTTAGCATGCTTTTATGCATGGTACGAAGAGTACACGTACTACATGTGCACAACCCCCAAAGCACCAAGTCGTCAGCAATACCAAGAGTACATACCCCCCCCCCCCCCCCCACCAGAGTGTGCAACTCCACTATTGGTGCTGTCCCGACAGAATTTCAAGTTGACGTCATTTTGATGATGCAATGCGCACTGTACACGGATTATCAGACGAATCCTGAACTTGTGGTTGACCGAAGCCGATCGATCCTGTACAAATTATTGCAAGGAAAAACGTGTGATGCTTTGACACCCGTACACATGTTGTAAATCACTGGTGCAAGGAGCATTGCGTCATATATATATAATAATGACGTCAACTTGAAATTCTGTCGGGACAGCAGTGTATGTGGGAGTTGCACACTCTGGGGGGGGGGGGGGGGGGGGGTATGTACTCTTGGCAATACTAGTATTGCTGACGACTTGGTGCTGTTTTAAAGGGGGTGCCGGAGGGTATCTTAGCGTTGGTACGGTCATCCATCTGAAGTAGTGGCCATAGTGTGTCTGACATCCCTGGCTCCTTATGTGTACATGACTCCTCATGGCATTCCGACCAGGGAGTCGTAGCATCCGAGAATGCAACATAAGTAGTTGCGTAATTACCTCGGGTTTCTGCTTGGTCCATTGCATCTACGCAGCACGCGATCGCCATCTAGACCACAGATATGCTGACTTGACCCAGTGGTCCAGGGTCTACGCAGCACGCGATCGCCATCTAGACCACACTAGTCAGCATATCGGATATGCTGACTTGAACCAGTGCCCGCTACTGAGCCAGGTCGACAGGGGCAGTGACCTGGTTGAGAGGGTGTATGGACCTAGTACTAGTGGTCAACAGAAACCATACCAGCCTTGTGCAGTAAACACACCGACCTGGTTCAGATAGAGTGCATTTGGTCGGCATGAACGTACTGTAAGTCGGCAAATTTTCGGCCCATTCAAATATCGGCCTCCCAGGGCTAAAACATATTTTCGGCTGCATCACATTTTCGGCCTGTACTGCTGCTGCCTGTATACACTGTCACGCTGAACCTTTGCAAAACAAAATTTCGGCCGCAACACATTTTCGGCCAAATATGATCAGGCCGAAAATAGCCGAAAATAAATATGCACCGAAAATTTGTTGACTTACGGACCGAAGTAACGGTCTAGTAGTACTATTGTACCCGGTGGACAAATCCGACATGTGATCGGCTGTTCGCTATGTTAACTACGGTGCTGCTCAATGAAAATGATTGCACGAGGCAAGCACGCACCGGGTTCTGTGCAGCCCTAGACCTGCGAACACTGGGATTTCCCCTCGTACAGGGCGCAGAGCTGACTGACTCGATCGGATTCCACTGGACAGCAATGCGTTCCGCCGCACGTACAGTCGAATTAGCTTTCAATCCCCATGCACAGGAGCCAGCACGTTATGACATCACTATGACATCATCAATATACATCATCACCTTGCTGTGCTGTAACTACAGTGCACAATGTTCCGGTTTGTGCCTTCAGGTCAATTGCAGACAGGAATTTGAAGGCAAGGAGCTGACTGCCCTGTGGTATCAGCAGCGACCCTATACGTATGCTAGCCCTGAAGGCAACAGGACGTCAGTTGATGGCATTGTGGCTTCACAGCTGTTGCAGATACTGGACTATTGCTGCTCCGAGGATGTAGTTCGGGAGATGCAGTATGTGCAGGTCAGTGTGCTGTAGCGCTGCTCTGTGTGTGTGTGTGTGCGTGTGTGCGCGTGTGTGTGTGTGTGTGTGTGTGTGTGTGTGTGTGTGTGTGTGTGTGTGTGTGTGTGTGCGTGTTTGTGTATGTTTGTGTGTGTGTGGGGGGGGGGGGGGGGGGTTGTGTGGGTTTGTGTGTGTGTGTTTGTTTGTATGTGTATCTGTTTGTGTGTGTGTGTGTGTGTGTGTGTGCGTGTGTGTGTGTGTGTGTGTGTGTGTGTGTGTGTGCATGTGTGCCATATCGCTGCTTCATGTGTGTGTGTGTGTGTGTGTGTGTGTGCGTGTGTGCGTGCACCAACGCATGTGTCCATAAGTGTGTGCATGAGACTTCTTGTTACTGGTCTTGGGTGCATCAGGATTGCACTTAGTGTCGTCTTGGCGCAATCCTAATGCACCCAATGTCTTCATTGTCTGCCGCGTCGAACTGGCGCGGAGATTGCAGATTAGCTGCAGTTATGCACGTAGTATCAAGAGTATATAAGCCCCCAAGAGTGTGCAACTCCTGATACCCTTTCTATGGGGTACGCCGACGGCGAAAACTCACATCACGTGGTGCAGTGTCGCAGTTGTACGTTCCCAGCCCGTTTTTAGCGAGCAGCGGAGTACTAAAAAAAGCACTCTCTGACAGAAACTCACTGCGCGTATGCAAATTCCCACCATGATCACAGCAGATTTTCGGATTGCGCGCACGCTATCCTTCGTTTGTACGTAGTACAAAGGTATCTGAGACACGTGATGTGAGTTTTTGCCGTCGGAGACCCCATATGCAGAGTTGCACACTCTTGGGGGGTTATATACTCTTGGTAGTATGTATGCCTCAGTATGTGCCCCTAGCTGCCTGGTTCCCAGGGCAAACATGGCGGTCTATCTTGTGTGAATGTTTGCATCTATACTTCTGTGTCTGACCCACCCGTAGCTCAATCTGACTGACTACAACATGAGTGCAGCCAACGCTATCCAGAAGGAGCTCATGTACGGAACGGCGGCTATGGGATTTCCGGTGCAGACGCCGCAGAGGTCTTTGCTTACCGAGCGCTTTGTCGGGGTAAGTTCGCCAGCTGGGCAGACCCCGTCCTGTGTGCACTGGAATCTCCGACCAACGCCCGCTATTTGCGTAATTACCCACTCAACTATAACGTCCACAGGGATGAATTTATCCGGTATCGCATCGCAGTTTGCGATTCAAAATCGATCGAGTGCGACTCAAAAATCACAGCGACTCGCAGGAAACTGCGATGCATAAACGGCACTGCATACTAGCTCGCGCAGTCAGTAAAAGTGATGCTGTGACTATGTCGTACACTCACTACACCTGTACAGTGCACGGACCCCGCTTTTTTCTCGGGAAGGTGTGATTTCTAGTACATGTACCTGTGAACTGTGGCTGGCTCCGCGTGCACATACTGACTGCATGTACTGGTGTCCTACTTGAACTACACGTACCACTTTGCGCGGCTTTCATTCAGTAAGTTCAGTAAGTTGTACTTTCCGTACTGACAAGCATCATCTTTCCTCCACGATCCCGGCGGAGGTCTTGTTGTTTGTTTTCTTCTTTCTGGTTCACTTACCTCTTTTCGTGATATTATTGTAGATTTCTGCTTGTAGCCAGTCGGTCTTTCTGGTCGTGAGGAACTTTTGGAATCACGTTCGTCCTTCTCTCTGACAATTGTCCAAGCTGTAGTTTTTGTCTAGTCTGGTTCTGCCTCCAACATGTCTGTACGACAGAGTACCTTTGAGAAGTGGGTGGCAGAGGTCGATGTCCAGAAGAAATGGCTTGGTTCTGAGAAAGCTACAGGTGCAGCGGTGACGCTAATTTTCTGCCAGCTATGCAGACAGCACGAGTACTCCCTCCGTGGACTGAGAAATTTTAGTCGGTCTTCGTGGAAGAAAAAGTGCTAATCAAAAATCAAGGACTGCTACGCATTTTGGCGTTTGCGTCGCGAAAACTGCTATGCGAAAAAATGACAGTAAATTCATCCCTGGTCCATACTACGTGGAGGTTACTGGAAGTCGACTAATTTTCGGCCCATTCAAATTTCGGCCTCCCAGGGCTAAAACCCATTTCGGCCGCATCAAATTTTCGGCCTGCACTGCTGCTGCCTGTATACACTGTCACAGTGAACCTTGGAAAACAAAATTTTGGCCGCAGCAAATTTTCGACCAAACATGACCAGGCCGAAAATAGCCGAAAATAGATATGCGCCGAATATTTGTTGACTTAACATTGATAAAGTGCAACACTAACGTTCGGTCCGCTACTGTCTCTTGATGAATCTTTCCATTGCTCCAGCTCAGTATCACTAGTTGTAGACCATCGCTCTCCATGGCGGTTTGTCCCTTGCCCGCTCAGTCGCCAGGTCAAGATCCCGCACTGTGCCGGTGAAAGTCATTTTTTGTCGACCTACAGTATGTGTTAACAATCATCAGTTGAAATGCTTTGGGCAAAGTCGTTGCACAGCGATGCACTAGCAACTCACTAGCGGCTTACTCTGCATACCTGTACATTGCGCTCACCAGCGGTTTCGCTGTGTGCTAGTGCGTATCACCAAGAGTAGATAAACAAGAGTGTGCAACTCCCGGATGGGTTGGCCCACGGCGGAATTTTTTGTTGACGTAATCTTTTCTACGATCCACACGCTGCGAATCTTTTGGAAAGTTTTGCCCCGTGCACCTGGCCGGGCTTTACATTACAAGGTCGGTGCCCAGCACGTGCTCTCACACTGCTCTGCGGCAAGATGCGCATTTTTTTCTGAAAAAGGTGACGTCACCAAACATTTCCGCCGTGGGCGGTGGTATCTGCAGATTGTGCAGGAGAGATCCGGAGTTGCACACTCTTGTTTATCTTCTCTTGTTATCACCCATAAGCGGTTCCGGAATTCTGTTGACTCACCATTACGACTTCTTTTGCCAAACCTCTGTATTGTACAACATGAGTTCAGCGTGTGCATGTGCGCCACAGCTATTCAATGCAGACCATGCAGCATTGCTATGTGCCACAGCTATTCAATGCAGACTATGCAGCTTTGCTGTGTGCCACCGCTGTTCAATGCAGACCATGCAGCATTGCTGTGCACCACAGCCGTTCAATGCAGGCTATGCGGCATTGCTGTGTGTCACAGCCGTTCAATGCAGGCTATGCGGCATTGCTGTCTGCCACAGCTGTTCAATACAGACTATGCAGCATTGCCGTGTGCAACATGGTGATTGGGGTATGCATCCGTTGGTGCTCGTGAGTGAAGTTGCGTTCGTAAGACTATTTGTTGTAGGCCCACTCTATTAGCAAGGCCACTATGGACACACAACTAGACATGACGAACTCAAGACGAAGACTGCTTTTCACACCACGGTGACGCGCGCGTGCACCAACACCATGTACACACGATCATGCTGAGCTCAGCCTGGAAATATGTGCTCCATCGCCACAGGCCGAGCTCAGCCTGGAAATATGTGCTCCATCGCCACAGGCCGAGCTCAGCCTGGAAATATGTGCTCCATCGCCACAGGCCGAGCTCAGCCTGGAAATATGTGCTCCATCGCCACAGGCCGAGCTCAGCCTGGAAATATGTGCTCCATCGTCACAGGTTGAGCTCAGCCTGGAAATATGTGCTCCATCGTCACAGGCTGAGCTCAGCCTGGAAATATGTGCTCCATCGTCACAGGCTGAGCTCAGCCTGGAAATATGTGCTCCATCGTCACAGGCTGAACTCAGCCTGGAAATGTGTCGTGAGTACGTTGTACTCTGTGTCGCAAAGCCGTGTGCTCTCCAGCCCAACCCTGGGTGTTTACGTGTAGGTTTGGTGTGGTTTTCCGTGTGTGTGTGTGTGTGTGTGTGTGTGTGTGTGTGTGTGTGTGTGTGTGTGTGTGTGTGCATGTGTGTATATGTGTGTGTGTGTGTGTGTGTGTGTGTGTGTGTATGCATGTGTGTGTATATGTGTGTGTGTGTACGTGTGTGTGTGTGTGTGTGTGTGTGTGCGCGTGTGTGTATATGTGTGTGTGTGTGCGTGTGTACGTGTGTGTGTGTGTGTTCGTGCTTGTATGTGTGTGTTTGCATCCCGTCGGTTGTCCAGGTTGTCCCCTCACCCGGCGCAGTCTACCTTGTCAAGAATGTGTACATGCCCGTCAGCATCCTGTCGGTGGTGTCCGGTGCCTGGGTACTCCTCTGCTTCGTGCTCGTATCAGCAGCTGTTGCCGGTATCATTATCTGGAGCGTCGTAAGTAGACCGCACCGCTTTGCTGTGCATGTCTGCATCGTAGTCTCCCCACTCACTGCACACTCTTCGGGTTATGTACTCCTGCTGGTAGCAATACTAGAATTTGTCGAGTGTTTATGAGCCACGGGAGAGAAGTGTAGTGCTGTGCCAAATTGTCAGTTTACAGCGACCTTGCACGTCACGTGGCCTTCAGCGACTACTGCCGGGAGGCCAGCCTCCCTCACTCACACATATGGGCCTGCGCAACAAATTTCTCTGCTGCACGGATACGAGCTCTGCCACGTAGGGTATCCTAAAACATGCAACCCATGAACTGGCGCGCTAGCCGGCACTGAGAGAAAGCAAGCACAGCATGCATCTTTTGGGTAATTTGAAAATGGGCTTTCGTTTATCATGCTATTTCTCAGTGGACGCGGTTGCTGCTCATCAGCGACTCACCATGCCCATCTAACACTTTTCAAGATGTGACACATATGTACAGGCTGCTAGTCGTGACATTAGCCATCATCATACTTAGCGACTATCGACTAGAGACTAGCAATTGGGTGTCGCGTATATTCTTCTTGCATGTTTACCCCTTCCACAAAACATGGTTCTTGTCTTTGCCCACGGACAATGCTTGGTACCTGTATAATGGGTAGAAGGCTACTAAAAGCACAAATTGATGCCCAATATTTTTTTGCGGTGAATTGGCGGTGAACATTAATTTTGTCACTATGAACGGATCAATTGTAATGTCTGCTGCTCAAGTGTACTTGTGATGGATGATGTACCTTCAATGTTTCAAAGGATGTAACATTCGCTATTCTTGCAACCTTCTGGAAAAAAAACTTTTAAATGCGTTGGTCTTCACAAAGGATGTCGATGCAAGTTATCAGCAAAAGGAGGTGCATCCGTGCGATTTGATCCTTGAGGGGGATGGCGGTGCTACGGATGCACAGAAAGCTCAGTCTCATGGAGTACTAGTACAAGGCGAACTGTGAATTTATTACATATTTTTATCAGCAAAACTGGATGCATTTTCTCCTCTGCGCAACGTCTTCTCCACAGGAGAACTACGATAGGAAGCACAGCATGTTTGCACGCGACTTCCTGCCGGGGATCTTTGACGGCTTCTGGTTCTCCATCGTGACAATGACGTCGGTGGGGTAAGTTCTCGAGTATAAATGTGCCGTGCGTGGCTGAAGTAGGTATGGCATGTGGCCGCTTCATGACACGAAGAACTAGCACGGTCATTCCTCAATGGGCCGGAGAATTAGTGGTGGTCAAACCACCCAGCTGATTCACCTTTCTGGGTTGATATTAATGGTCTCTAGCTCTGTCTCTGTGGAGGTGTTAGTCCTCATTTCTTAGATTTGCCTGTCTTTATACATGTAAAGTACTTCACCCTTCCCCCCCCCCCCCCTCCTTCTCTCATCGCTAACTTGAAAATATTTTGTAGAAAAGAACAAAGATTAAAAGGACCTACAAGTTACGCTATATAATGTCCACTAACACCACCAGTTGAAAATATTGTTTAATTTTTTTGCAATGTGGGTATACACCTGGTGTGTGTGTGTGTGTGTGTGTGTGTGTGTGTGTGTGTGTGTGTGTGTGTGTGCGTGCGTGCGTGTGTGTGTGCGTGCGTGTGTGTGTGTGTGCATGCGTGTGTGTTCGTGTGTGCGCGCATGTGTGCATGTGTATGTATGTGTGTGTGTGTGTGTGCACGTGCACTCTAGGTTTGGCGACATCACTCCGCGCACCAAGATCGGCAAGGGAGTGGGCCTGATCTGGATGGTGACGGGCACGATTAGCCTGGCTCTGTTCACCGCTACCGTCACCACATCGCTGACTACATCCACACTGACGGTGGATACACGTCTGCGCGGTTCACATGTAAGTTACAAGTAAAATGAAACCGTTCAGTACAGTCAACTTCGCTTATAACGACACTCGGCGGGGCATCAAAAAGGTGTCCGTATTCGCGCAGTGTCGTTATACCCGAAGTCTCATTATAATGTGAGCCAGGGACTATAGAAACCGCCCTACGACGTTTGATATCAAAATCAAGTTATGACGTTTCAAAGTCACGCGACTCAAAGTTACGCGAAGCGCAGAACTCGTCACTTTTGTTTTGACAAGACTCAAGAGCTTCTCCGTCTCTCGTCTTGTTAGGTGGTCGGGGAAGGATTCCGAGCTCGAGCGATTGTCGAGTAACTCATGAGGCTCCACTTACTGTGATTGATTATGGCTACAACATCACGACGCAGCTCGATTCTGTGTGGAGTCGACTAGTCCCTGATGCGAAGGCGCTTGAATCGGACGACGAGAATTTTTACGGATTCAGCGCTGGCATCCGCGAGTCGTCCGCGAGCGATTCCGACACCGATGCTGACAGCGACGGCGATGATATGCCACCTAAGAAGAAGACGTATGGAGTCACAGCAAGCTCGAGTGCTGCTAGTGTTGTGTCGAAAACGCCAAGCCCCGACAGCTCGGAAATTTCAAACGCGGAGAGTGACACCGACTACTCGGAATTGAATGACGAACCAGATACCCCCGCACCTGAGCCACCGACGACGGAGCAGGTGAAGCGTGGTCTCCTCGGATATACGCGATGGGATTGAGAGAGGCTGTGGATGCAAGTCGAAGAATCATTGGAAAGTCATCCCAGAGCAGCAGCTCGAGGACTACATATTTGAAGTCTCTAAACTGCGAGAATCGAAAAAGCGCTTCAACAGTTCAAGCAGTTTGTTCTGGGCGCACTGACTGGAAGCATGCGAAAGTCGATGACTGGCGGTGGTGATCGACCTTTCTATTTCCGCTATCATGTACGTGGTTACGAGTTGTGCAAAGACGTGTTCATGGCAGTTCATGCTGTTGGAAGTCATGTAATGAAGCGCCTTCAAAAAAGGCAAACAAAGGAGTCGTTCAACTGGCACAACATGGCTTGACTGGGAGAACACCAGAGCACTTGGCCATTTCAGCAGACATAGAGCACGATGTAGTGCAGTTTATTTAGTCATAATTATGCTAACATGTACGGTCTACCTCAACCTGCAGCGGAGGGAGGTCGTGCTGAGGACCCTCCAGTATACTTACCAGCATCCGAGCACAAGAAGTCTGCATACATCTACACCAAGACCGTCACACAGTATTCGCCTGTTCATTACAGGTCATTTTGCCACATTTGGAGGAGACAGGCAGCACACATCAAAGTGATGAAGCCAAGGACAGACGTATGCGCACTGTGTGACAATCTGCGGTACAAAATTCGTGTCGCCCGTACAGAGGAAGAGACGAAATGTAGTGTCCAGGCCCTGTGTTCGCACACATCGCTAGCACAAGAGGAGCGGCAGTACCACCGAGATTAGTGGATTTAGTAGGCGTCACTGGATGAAGCTGAGGGCATAGTTCACTATACATTTGAACTGCCTAACTACTACGTAGTAGCAAGAATGAAGATATACAAAGAACATTACATACTGTGTACATAAATTTGCTCTATATTGCTCAATTGATATGCCATTATTAAATAGGTGGTTAGGCACATTTTACCATCGCAGATCAACTCGAAATTTTGTTTGAGCACATTACCATACCATACCAACATTTTGAGAGAAAAAAAATTTTTTCTCCAAAAAGTGCCATAGGGTGGTTTCTGTAGTCCCTGGCTCATGTATTACAGTGGTATGGGACTTTGCTCTGGGCATGGAAATTCTGTCGTTATTCGCGAATTGTCGTTATATCCGCAGTCGTTATTAGCGAAGTTGACTGTATACCGTGTTCTCTGAAGTATAAGGCGCACTTTAGTTAAACACTTGTCATTCAAAATCGGTGTGGTCTATACTACAGTCAGACGTCGCTTATCGCTTTTATCTGGATCCGGAAGAAAATGATTGGTTACCGATTTACAGCATATGTCTTGCATACATACAGTATGTGTGTTCGATTTTCCGGTTCCCTCGCCTATCCAGATATTTTTGTGGAAAACGGATGTGTGCGGTTAAACGAGGTCTGACTGTATGGCGATGAAATGAACCGTGATTTACAGGGTACGACTCATAGATATCTGTGTTTGGTGACATCAAATCTGGGGGTGTGAGTGTCCGTATGTGTGTGTATGGGCTCTTGTGCTCAAACGTCATGATAGAACAGTGAATCATGCTTGTGTACTTTTGCGAAAACCTCGGCTTGGTTTCGTGCTTTGCATTTTGCTCGCAGGTGTCTGTGGTTCGTGGATCTGAGGCATTGAAGATTGCCATCCTGAATGGTGCCAAGGTGACTGGTAAGCAATACGGGTTGTCATGGGGGATTTCCCCTGCTTGAGCCACATCCGTTTCCTGTTTCTCACGGGGTCAGCCTCCTAGCCTGGGCCGTTCTCGTTTTTCTTGTACTACAGTCTATGCACAGTTGAGGCACCGTGTATCCATTGGCATGCAGTGCTTGGTGAAATCCCGGCCTTCTTCGGCATTCTCCGACTAGAGCGGCGTTCCAGTGTACAGCACAGTGTACGTAGTGCCCGGGCTGCGTATCGCCGCGGTGCTATACGCCCACTGCGCAACGACGTAATTTGTACCATGAACGCCCCCCCCCCCCCCCCCCCCCAACACACGGCCACGTGGGCATGGTTGTCTAGCTGGCGTGTTGAACAGTGCATTCCTGATCCCAGCGTACTCGCATGCATTACCCTCATACCTTCCATATTTGGCAATGCGCAATGGGCTTATTCTATCCATGAGGTTGGATATCACTGACCAGTACCATAGACAGCAATGCATAGTCTGACTGGCTCATTGAAAGTGCTTCACAGAGCCTCTGGTGTACATTTAACTATGGCCTGCACATCTTGCTTCCTTGGAGTGCGTACCGTAACTTTGCCGGGCGCCGTTGTCGCTTGTTCTTGTCCTGTGTTTCGTCGCCGCAGTGGAGGCAGGGACTGCAGAGGAGGCTATCCGCCTGGTGCTGAATGATACGTGCGAAGGCGTTGTGCTGGACCAGCTGATAGCTGGTGATATCATCACCTCGAGGTACGTCACCTTGCCGTGAATTTTGCATTTCTGGATTTAGTGTCATGCTTGACAGAACACACACACACACACACACACACACACACACACACACACACACACACACACACACGCACACATACACGTACACACACCCATGTGCATACACACATACACCCACACATACACACATGCACACACACACAATCTTGCACACTAATAATAATAATAATAATAATTCGCGGGATTCGCGTTGGCATCGCTTGAATGTTCAGAAACACACAAACTAGCCTTCGCTTCCGCAGGCCACCACTGTGCCTATGCCTTGTACACCTTAGCGGCAAATTCAGACCTCACAAGTGAGTCAGGGGAGAGTGGGTGAGTCTCTCAACCAATCGGGCGTGTAACGGCCCATAACCCTGTAAACTGCATCCGTGTTACCCTCACTCCGAGCTGTGAGTACCCAGTTGACCGTGGGGATCTTGCACACTATCTAGTTTTTTCTCTTCACCCTTACCTCCACCACCCTTCTTCCACTGAGTTTTACTATCTTGGTGTACGTGTGTTCCTGTATGATTGCAGTACTGACAACGACATTGGCAAGCTACGCATGGCCAAGCTGCTGATGTCGCAAGTCATGCATGGCGTCCTGTTCAGTCCCAATCGCACTAGCGGACTGATAGAGCAGTGTGCAGACCTGGTAATGGCCGAACAGGAACACGAGACTTACCTGGACGTCGAGGAGCTGGTCTCGGCACTGCAGGTGAGTTGAGCGGGCGATCAATTACCCGTTTTGTTTGCGATGTAAAATAACATTTAAAAAAATGAAAGAAACAAAACAAATGTTCAGCGGGTCATGTGTCAGCGAACGGTGAACAGATTCGGGTGGTGCGGGGGTCCTGCTAGCGGACAAAGCAGCGCCATCACGGTCGTGTGTAACACCTTGTGTTTGCATTTGCTGGACTTTGGACAGTCTGTTTTGCACTCGCTGGCATGCAGATGACAGTCTGTTTTGCACTCGCTGGTGTACGAGGACAAAGCAGAGCTGTCCCTCTCATGTGTACACTCTTGTGCTTACATTTGCTGGTGAGTTGAGTGTATGCTGGACACTCAGTTGTGTACTCATAAGATGTTGGGAGCTTGCTTAAAACTCTGTAGGTGAACATGAATTTGTACAGTGAAACCTGTCTAAGACGACCGCTCAACGGGACCTTCAAAATGTGGTCTCTGTTACCAGGTGGTCTCCTTATCCAGGGTCATTTGACTGGAAATAGCATCCCTTGGTCCTGGTTTCAGTGGTCTTTTAGGACAGGTGGTCGCCTTATCCGAGTGGTTGCCTTTACAGGTTTACTGTGCTGTGCTGGGATAAGAAGTACCTCGGATACAAAATACAGTAAAACCTGTAAAGGCAACCACTCGGATAAGGCGACCACCTGTCCCAAAAGACCACTGAAACCAGGACCAAGGGATGCTATTTCCAGTCAAATGACCCTGGATAAGGAGACCACCTGGTAACACAGACCACATTTTGAAGGTCCCTTGAGCGGCCGTCTTAGACAGGTTTCACCGTAGTAGCATGCGCCTAGGCTCCGGACAATGTTCGTACTAAGCGAGAGCATGGCCTAGAGTACGTACAGTAATTGAGTGCCACTGTGCTATGCTGCAGACTCGCCAGTCGGCCACCAGCCCCAGCACGTCCACGTCCAGTATCTTCTCGAATCACAAGAATGTGGTCTACATCACCTGCTACATGCTGGTGTTCGTCTTCTTCTTTGCCTGGTTCGTGGACTGTCTGCGCCAACGATCCCGTAAGTACAGTGGTGGCGTTCCGAAAACATTTCTAGCAGCTAGTAGGTGAACTGGGACTGGTCCACAACCAGGTAATGTAGAGGATGCGTCCTCTTCTGAGCTGGATTATCCACGAATTCGGGATTGCGTTCGAAACAAGATTGTGTGTTAGTGTTGGTGAGTGGGTGGGAGTCAAGACCCGTTTGTTCATTGAAAAGGATTGACCTGCAAACTCCAGACCCCTTTGCGAGAGAGAGGTCCCCAGTGGTCTTCTGTGGGTCATTGCTCCTCTTCAGCGTATACTGACATTTGCCGGCGGCCCCAAATATTTCACCGGAGTGTTGTGTAGATCCAAAATAGGTGGGTAGAACGCAATATCTTCAGCTGAACATATTGCCTTCTACCAACCTATTTTGGATCTGATGTGGTTGTTATAATGCAATGCTTGAAGGATGATAACGTTGAGCGGTTGCTTGCAATACCTCGTTGCGAAAAGCCTCCTGCTCAATCCCACAAAGACATGGTTCATGACGATGCGAGGAAGGGAGGGAGGGAGGGAGAGAGAGAGAGAGAGAGAGAGAGAGAGAGAGAGAGAGAGAGAGAGAGAGAGAGAGAGAGAGAGAGAGAGAGAGAGAGAGAGGGGGAATTAAGCTTTACGCAAGCAGGATCGAAAACATAGATAGCAAAACAGACCCCACGGCAGCAGCAGCAGCAGCAGCATCGGGATGACCAGCAAAGCCTTCATCTGGAAGAGCAGAAATTCAAGCTCATATCGACATCCAAGAACTGACAAGAGTAATGATTGCAGTACATGTACTCCTTACTACCTTCACTGTCTACTTTCTGCCGGGTTAGGCCAAGTAAAAATAATTGATTGTTGATCGTCAGCGCCCGCCCCGATTTTTCAGTCCGTCCCGGGATTTATTTTATTTTTTATTTTCGTGATCAACGTAGATAACTCGTGTGTTTAGCGAAACGCGAACTTTTTTTAGCAGTACGCGCGTATGCGAGCTCTCATGTACAGCTTCAACGTGCTTTTACCGTAGCGACATCACGCAGTGCAGTGTGATTCCAGTGTACTCGTACTTGTGTGAAATCTGGCAACTACTCGTACAATACATGGCACTGTACGTAGTCTGTACAGTGTAGATCTACCACCTGATATCTACGCCTGCATTCTAATTCATGGAAACTGCGCAGCCACCGTGTACCGCGTCCGAAGCTGTTGTTGCTCGATGAACTCGTACTCATGCGCTTGAAAGGGTCCGCACTGTGAAGAAAAGTTGTGTGTGTGTGTGTGTGTGTGTGCGTGTGTGTGTGTGTGTGTGTGTGTGTGTGTGTGTGTGTGTGTGTGTGTGTGTGTGTGTGTGTGTGTGCGTGCCCGCCGCATGGCAGCAGGAAATTGTATCACAGAGTCATCTGCACATGGGCAAAGTGTTTGGAGTGTGTCCAGGCAGACTGGTAGCAGTCACAACCAACAATGGTAGTACACCCATAACCCCATAGATGTAATACAATGTCATGCTAAGATTTCAAGATGGCCGGTCGATGCAGATATAAAAAAAGTTATAAAATAAAAATAAAACCCTCCCGTCCGCCCCGATTTTTCGGAAAATTCTGACGGTCAACAATCTATTTTTTTTTACTTGGCCTTATGTAGATGTACTGTATAAGCAGAAATATTCGTCTGGAATTTAATTTCGTCTTTTTCGTCCAAGGAGCTTTTAGACTAAATTCAATGTAGGACGAATATCGATTTGTCCAGCTTTTCTATACTTCGAAGTACACTCTTTTATGATCCATGGACGAAATTTTCAACCTGACGAACTCCTTTTCTTTGGAGTTGGACGAAATTATTGACTGACGGAATTTTCTGCCTCTACAGTATATGGAATGAACACTTCTTGTAAGGCCACTGGCTGATTCCAACACCTGAGTCTGCGTGCAGATTTCGGTTGGCCTTTCGAAATTGTCAACGATCCGCTCGATTTGCCCAACTTCCCACTTGGTAATCTCCGGGGCTGTAATTGCTATGACTTTGCTGACCGAATCACCAGGCTGATCACTGTTATCAAAACAGGTGTACGGATCTTTAGAGAAAACAGGTTTGAACGAACACGGGAGCATCCCAGCGTACTTCAGCTGATCAAACGTAAAAACAGGTCTACCGATCTTTTTTAGAGAGCAGGTTTGAACGAACAAGAGAGCACCCCAGGGAGCACCCCAGCGTACTTCGGCTGGTTTGGGTATGTTCCACCCAGACAGGCTCGTCATTGCTAAGCTCTTCCCAGGGCTGGTCGAACATCCGCGCGAAGAAACGATGGATGAGGGCGGATGCTTCGGAGCTGGAGGTACGGGAAGTTTCGTAGTCCGCACTTGTCATTGTTTTTGTTCGTGCCCTTGTGCCAGTCAATGGATATTAGCCCAAGCAAGAAATCTCCAATTCTCTGGTGAAACACACTACTCTACCGAACGGCTAACGTACTCTGCATCGCGTCGCGAGGAACAACTGGTGTGCCTCCAAAGAACGGAGAACCGTGCCGCCCGACTTGCCTTTGGTCTTCCACCTCGTGTTAGTGCTCAGCTGCTGGTAACTAGTCAGCAGCTCTATGCTCTGCGTGAGCTGTACGATCATGAGCTCTTGGTCTGTTTGTCTGGCCCTGCCTTAAAACGGATTCCACTAGCAATGCTCTGAAGCCGCCGTTGAACCGTCCTGAAGGGCGCGTGACCAGGGCTCGAGACACCCTGGGACCGAGTGTACCCCCACCAGTACACCACCCGGTCTGGGCAGGGACACCTTTCGATGCATGGATCTGTGCTGTTGAACACTCTGCGTGCACTGCGCAAATGTCGAAAGTCTAATCTTGCCAGTATTCCGCACTGCCTCTCTTAAGTTTGCTATGACTTATTAATGTCTCCTGATGTAGGTCAGCACTACACCTAGGCTCGATCCTGCTCGGGTAAAGCATGACTCTCTCTCTCTCTCTCTCTCTCTCTCTCTCTCTCTCTCTCTCTCTCTCTCTCTCTCTCTCTCTCTCTCTCTCTCTCTCTCGTGTATATTTGCAGTATACCCGCATCATAAGAAGCATGTCTCCCGTCATCATCGTCCACATCACCACCGTCATCATTCACAGGGTGCGCTACCTCACAATAGCCTCTTGCACAGCCCGCCCCTCAAGCCAGCACCCAAGACAATGACGACATTAGATGAGGAGGAGATCTTGCTACCGTCCGAGACTGCACGGCTGCTGCCTGCTAACGGTGGGTACTGTGGTGACTTGTCCATTGTTCGTACTTCTCCCAGTCCCTTGCCCTCTCCACACTCAGACGGTCGGACATGCCTTCATTGGCAACAGAAATGCTCTACTTAGAAGGTGACGACGGAAACACAACTGGGCATGACTAACTCACAGTGAAGACTCACTTTGCACACAACGGCAACACATGCATGCACTAACAACAAGTACATACACAACTGTACAACCGGAAAGTGTAACGAGTCACAAAGTCGAACGTTTTAATGACCAATTTTTTTTCCGTTTTAAAATAGTCGAAGAAACGTTATCGCGAACCTGGTTTGAGATGTCTGCGTAAAGATGCGCATACAGATGGGTGGCCAGGTGGCCATCGTTAAACTTTCTGCACGTTGTCATACCGAAATTACAAAAAGCGTTAACAGTTTTGAAATTGACCTCTTCGGAGGAAAACATTCCCATCCATCTCGAACCTGCTTCTCTAGTATTGTCTGTATGTGTCATACATACTGTAAAGCGTGAAATTTTCGCGGCGTTTCTAGTTCGCGCTTTCAGAATCCGGACAGGTTTGCGAGGTTTTAATTTTGCGATTGCAGAATGGCATTCGTGCTAAACCTGTGGCATTCGTGCTAAACCTTTCATGGATCTCCTTTTTGCGCTGTCTAAATTTCGCGATTTCCACGCGGTCGCGAATTTCGCAGAAACTAGACCATCGCAATAATTTCACGGTTTACAGTACACAGAAACAACAATGGCAAGCAGGGCCAGTTTGTCGCTACTCTGAGTTTCATGTTTACGCAATCACCAGGCAACTGTACTAGCCTTGCTTGCCCGTGTTGTTGTTCCGTGCTCTGCCTCACACTGGGTGCATCCTCCGTTGAATGTGTGCACATGTCCGGGTGTTGTGTTTGTGCTCACAGAATCCGCAGGCCAGTACGGCAGCACGGTGAACACAGTACGGCAGCGCGGCAGCCTGAACAGCGAGACAGCGCCTTCCCAGGACCAGCGTTACGCCAGCAGCGGCCGGACGGGCAATGGCAATGGAGATGGCGCAACACGCACCGTTTCAGACCCAGCAGCAGCAGCAGCAGCACCGACGATGTTGTGCAAGCTCGATGGCAATCACACGTGGTCGCCGCTGCACAATCCGGTGCGATCCACGACGAGCGGGGACAGCGGCCAGGACACAGATAAGCGGGTATTGAGCAGAGGGACTGTCCCCTCCACTGCCACCGCTACCATGGCCGTTGCTACGGGATCTAGCACTCAGGAGACCACGCCGGAGACCCGAAGCTCATCGTCCTGCAGCAATGCGGCTACCGAGGATGGCCTATACGACCAGTACAGCGGCAGCGTGCCCGGATCCCCAGCTTCTTCTTCGCCACCGCCGCCGATCGCACCCAAGCAACTCGTCTACATGCAGAGGCCCAGCTTCAGCAGTCGACGTCATGCGTCCTCCGCGTCCTCTAGCAGTCGCACGCGCTCGCCGCGAAGCCGAGCTCCCTCCTCGGACGTGTTCCCGGGATCGCCACCACCCACACTTGCCGACGGTGGTAGTCAACAGGCCGAGCGCGACCTCAGTCCTGGTCGCGATCTCGAGGCGTTTGTCCTGGCCGAGCAGAACCACGAACTCGAGCGCATGGAGAAGGACTGTCAGCAGATGCTGCAGGTGTGGGCGTCGCGACGACGAGAGCTGCTGCAGAAGCACCAGCGGGAACGCGTGCGCGTACGCATGCAGCAGCAGCAGCGCCAATCGCAGAAAGCAGCTCCCTGAATGCATACCCGCCCCAGTGTGCGATCCAATGAACTGATACTACAGAGTTGATGTGATGTCCATGTACCTTGTTGTTCTCTGTACTATGCTCTTCCTCCGCAATATCGAGCACTCTCACTACACCGAGTGCATACTTCGGTAAGTCCATGTTACCGTAAACTGCATCTCCCCATGGAATAGATATTCTTGATCGCTTGCCGACGCGCTCAGTTATTGCCCACGTCCATTTCCTGTGCCGAATTCTGACATTGCCTTGTACATTGATGTTTGCACCAAGCTCGGCGGAGTCTCATTTTACCAGACTGCTTCTCATTGCGGACGATACACCGTGTACAAAATTGACTTTCAACATGTGCAACGGTCCCCAGCCACCGATGCAGCATCCTAGTATTTGGTGCCATGCGGTTTACCTAATTCGTCTTGAATCTATTCGCTGTTGCGTCCGGTAGCCTCCTTGCATTGCGTACGTAACATTCTGGTAGCGCCATCTCCACCTCTGCAGCATGACGGGTGGCTGGCGTTTGCATTTAGTCGGTAAGGCTGCGTTCGGGTCATCTTCTTGCCGTAAGCAACTGTTCTACTACTGTCTTGTGATATGGAGTGAGCAGTGCACTCGTGTGTGCAGTGCTCGTCACGTGCTCGCATGTCATGGGTGCTCCCCGACATTATACCCACGGGCATCTGAGATTAGATTTTCAAGCTTCTCTGCAGCTGGTCTGCATCTAGATTTGTGACTTGAATCCGATGACCTACATGTACATCGTCACAGAAGATATTTTTGGGCAATTTCACTACCTCAGGAGAGGAATTTTCACGTTTTAGCTTAGTTGCACCTTTTGGTTTTGAATTACGAAGTTAGGTTTCACCTTTTGGTTTTGAATTACGTAGGTAGTTGATGGTAAACCATCTCCGTGGCGTGTCTTTTCAGCTTGATTGGCCGTTTTCGCCATGCGCTGTTGCATCTCTGCAGCTGGTGTTAGGGCGGCGTGCTCACGGGGGCTCACCGATGTCTGTGCGTATGATTGCCGAGTTGGCTGGTATATTTCGCAGAACTTGTCTTTGTTCAACTTGAACTCTATCATCTATTCCTTACGCCGATAGCACACGGCTGAATTTCTACGCGCAGATTTATCCTTTTTTTAGAGCATTTTTATCCCATTGTATTATTACACGCCGTAGTGTCGGCGCTGGTTTTGAATCGTTGAAGTAGGTAGGTAGCTTTCATCTTGCCGTGCTGAGCTCTTAGATTATACCTGGTGTATGTTACCATGGTTGCATATTACCTGTTCAAAGTTCTAATCTTCTATGGATCGGTTGTCATGGTATTGTTGCCATGATACCGGCGACATTCGCAGCTTTCTGGTTTGCTGCTCGCCCGTGACCTTTGGTTACTGGGTAGTGTCCGCGTGCCTCTGTGCCGACCAGCACGTACAGCCGGGCTCTGCCGGTCGAACGGCACATTTGTAAACATTGCCACGGGCCATGGAAGGTCTATATGTTCACAGTTAGGAAAAGGGTGGATGGTGGGGTAATGTAGAGAATCAACTTGGGCAGCACGAGACCCAGGCCTAGAAATAAACTCTGTTCTAACTGAATGCAAAATTTGATAACAAAAAAGGAAGAGAAGGGTACCTGCTGTAGGGCTGGTGGTTCAGACATGCATGCATCTAGAGGCAAGCTCCACCAACCGCCATGTACAGACCAGTGGTGCACGGGTGTCGGGTACATCTATTTTTATACGTCATTACAATATTCATGTTATCTCCTGATCACATGCATAACAATGATATCCAACACCCCAGCACTCAGTTACAATCATGTACATAATTGTATGCGAATCACTCCGCACAGTGTCCATGATCCACTCTTCTATCTGCTCCAATAGCTGCACATCACAATCATGCACATGGGTGATACTGATACAGTGATGATGGTAATAGTGCATTGATTTTGGCGGAATGTCACCATGGTCACGGGATTAGTTGTAATTGTGTACACAAACTTGGTTCTTGAATGATTATCTTGTTAGATGAAAATCATTGGCTTCAAAAATTGTTTTGCCGCAGCAAAAGTTTATTACACTGCTGTGATGGGATTCGATTCACTTACCAGCTGCTCCTCGCGCAACCAATGTACCAACCCGCTAGTCGTGCCTAACTTGTCAAATAGCGGCTAGAAGACACACTTCTATGTCATATACGTACAAAGTAAAAAAAATGAAGGCTTGAAGCAGGTTTCAAAATTTTACGAGGAAGAATACATGCTTATATTTACTCAATCTGCGGACAGCATGCTGTTTCATTCTTTTTGAACTCATCAGCGCAGCACAGATCAGAGGAAATGAGGCCGAACCTGATAGCAATGGAAATAAAAATTTCCAATCAGGCCCGAACGTACCTTGCCAGAGTGCTCAAACTGACATGCTTATATTTTATAATTATTATGATCTGGCTCCTGAAAGATCTTGACAATGGCATCTGTATACATGTATGACTGTACGTATGCAGGTACATGTACGTGTACAACAACTGCCATGACTTACCAAGACAGGATTGTGCACTTATTGACTGTACGTACATGTACATGTATAGAAGCCTTGCTTGGTAGTTAACATGTTTTTCGATTTTGACAGCATGTTACAAGGCGAGGACGCGTAGTGCTCCTGACTACAACCATAAACCGGTTGGCAGAGTCCCGGTCTTGCGACCATTTGAACCGTATTGGGAAAACCCAGGTTCGGACCCTCGTTACTCTACGGGTTGGTAGGATTTTTATAATTTTCGTTTTTTTGTGTTGTAGAAGTCGTCGTGTTGCCGCCGTAGTAACCGGTTTATGGTTGTAGTCAGGAGCACTACGCGTCCTCGCCTTGTAACATGCTGTCAAAATCGAAAAACATGTACATGTATGTAGATCTATAACGATTAGTATGAACCTACTGGTACTGTACATCGTATGTGTGGGGCCGGTTAGGTGGATAAGGCTCGAAAAATTGGCAAATTCTGCTCGAAAAGCAGTGAAATTGGTATACATGTACACCATACAACCTGTATGGCAGGCACTTACTTGAGGTCTGCTCCATTTCTTTATCCACATACCAAACATGCATGAAACTTACCAGAAAAGTACCAAATTCTGCCAATTTTTCTGCCGGTATTATCCGCCAAGGGCTAGCGTGGGCACGGTTCCCGATGATCTACGACTGAATGCGAGCATGGTTTTCATGGAGGGCAGTTCAGAGCCAAATTGTTACCTTCTCGAGCGCTTGTTGATAAGTTGGGACGAAGTTGTTGCATGCATGCCTTGATGCATGTACCATGTGTACTTCGTGTACATTTGTGTGAGTGTGATACATGAAATTAGTTTAAAAAAATGTACTTGTACGTTTCGATGACTGGTATAATCAGGCATGGCAGTGGGCTGGCACAAGCAAAACTTACTTCCTATTTTAACAGCAGCTGGTTGTGTTTCTCAACACAATTGTATAGCCGATGATACGCTAATGTGATACTGTAATTTCACAAATTTTCGGTGTACTTTTTTATTTTCGGTACCTTCGGTGCATCTGTTTCATACCTAAAATTTCAATACACCGAACAAACACTAACACACATAATCCTATAGGGAACTGCTTCTCTGTACCTCAATTTTCTGTTCACCTAACCTGGCCTTTTGCCCTCATACCGAAAATATTGAGCACCGAAAATTTCTGAAATTTGAGTAACTATGAATTTTATAGATCTACATGTATACGTACTGCAGTTGCTGGTTGACAGACCTATTATTATTGTCTCTAGCACAACCCCGTGACGTTGAGAAGAGGGAGGCGACAGCTCAGGACCCTGGGACTGGGAGGTTTCTAGTGCATGCATACCAGAACACTTCGAGTGTCACAGAAACCATCGACTCTCGGCCCTCAACTCGCTGAAAGTTGAAACATTTCAGTCGCAAGTATGTGTGTATGGTTGCTGCGGATCACGCATTTACGCGTTCTGCCTAGATTATTCATTGCGTCAGACACGGTAGTAATGTTGCTGATAGAAACATCGAAACCAGGAAAGGCTAGAGAGTAGAGACAGTGAAACATGTCTTAGGCAACCGCTCTAGTCAAGGAACCTTGCAAACATCGGTAACTATGCAGTAGGGTAGTAGTCAGTAGTAGTAGAGGTAGAAGTTAGTAAGAAGTAGAGTTCATTATCAATTTTGACTACAGGAGAGTCCCGACGGGCATGACTTTATTACAGGGAACCCTAGGTAAAGCTTAGTACGGTGAGATAATGTAGACGTCCACATGTACTAGCAGATTGCAATTGACGACAGTTGGGAGCAAGAGCATTCCACCGATCTGCTCCAGGAAAAATGTAGTCTCTGTGTACCAGCGGGTGTTCTGATCTCGGGGAATTTCACTGGAAACAACAGCCAATCGTCCAGATCCTATAGCGCTGGCAGCTGAAATCCGATCCCTGGAGCGGTGCGCAAAGACCCAGGTATTGCAATGCTACGAATTACGTCAAAATAGAGGATAAAAGACCCCACTAGAATCGCTGAGAATCGGTGCTGCACTTCAGCACGAAACTCAGGGGTCGGATTTCCGTTGCCACCGCTGTCACCTAGCCTGTGATTGTGGCGATCCTCTTGGTCGTATAGTCTCCATGCCAGAGAGGCCGGCGCCGGCCTGACAAGTTTTATTCATTAATTTAGTTTGAAGGAAGGTGCAAATGGGAAAAGTATGAAGAAAATTGACTGACCACCGGGGCACCAGGACTCGAACCAGGGACCCCCGCTTACGTAAGTATTAGTTATGGCCAGCGATTGTCTACCACTTGCACTGCACTAAGCAATGGTGTAGTGTTACTCTGCACAGTCTGCTACACACGCTGAACTTTGAACACATGTATATGTAGGCTGGTACAATGACGTAATCTGGTGATGCTATTAATATAATCTATGGGAGTGTTGCATAAGGCTCAAGCCCAACCCGGGTGAATGCGAGAGAGGGAGAGGGAGAGGGGGGGGGGGGGATCGAGAGAGAGAGAGGAGAGAGAGAGAGAGAGAGAGAGAGAGAGAGAGAGAGAGGAGAGAGAGAGAGAGAGAGAGAGAGAGAGAGAGAGAGAGAGAGAGGAGAGAGAGAGAGAGAGAGAGAGAGAGAGAGAGAGAGAGAGAGAGAGAGAGAGAGAGAGAGAGAGAGAGAGAGAGAGAGAAGAGAGAGAGAGAGAGAGAGAGAGAGAGAGAGATAGGGAGAGAGAGAGCAGGCTACGCTGATGAGCGACAGATAGTATGTGCGTTATGCATGGTCTCACCGAATCTGTTGCAACAAAACCAGTGTAGTGCTCTTCAGTGTCATCACCCGCTACTGAAACATTGCACAGCGTTGATCCGAGAGTTTCCTTGAGGCGGTAGACAGCACCATTGAAGTGCTCTATTTTCACGACAGTTGGCGTTATCCATGACTGATTGTATCTTGTACGTGTAACCAGTGTAGTCCACAGTTTGATATTCTCCATCTCTAGTCCTGTGAACCAGTGATCCGTGCCCTGCCTCTCTAGCAACTAATTCATTTCCAGTCTTCCTTTCCTCATGCAATCTCTTTCTCTCTCTCTCCTTTCCTCATGCAATGTCTTTCTCTCTCTCTCTCTCCCTCTCTCTCTCTCCCTCTCTCTCTCTCTCCCGCTCTCCCTCTCCCGCTCCCTCTCCTGCTCTCCCTCTCCCGCTCTCCCTCTCCCGCTCTCTCTCTCTCTCTCTCTCTCTCTCTCTCTCTCTCTCTCTCTCTCTCTCTCTCTCTCTCTCTCTCTCTTTCTCTCTCTCTCTCTCTCTCTCTCTCTCTCTCTCTCTCTCTCTCTCTCTCTCTCTCTTCTTTCTCTCAATCTCGAAGTAGGCTACACACAATCACATAACGTTACACACACACACACACACACACACACACACACACACACACACACACACACACACACACACACACACACACACACACACACACACACACACACACACACACACACACACACACACACACACACACACACACACACACACACACACACACACACACACACACACACACTGCAATGTGCATGAACAGTGGCTATTGACTGGCCAAAGTTATGGCTGAAGTCCCCAAACAGCACATTTTAGTATTTTACCCACGACACTGGGAATTACCTTACGAGTATTGAAGGGTAACTGCTCTCCATCATTCTGTTATTAGTGTAATCTCTCCATATCGGGGTTATCGTACAGTATTCTAACCTCCACTGGAATAAGACTGCTACCCGCTAGTATTGGCACTAATCATTGAAGTAATCTGACTCCAACGTCTCCGGTCTGATGGCTAGCTGTCCATTGCTGACGTCATGT